TATTTCTTGTTATTTCTTGCTTTCAGAGTTAGTTTGTGTAGAATTAATCTCATCATAGTCAAATCTCTCTCTCTCTCTCTCTCTCTCTCTCTCCAGTCTATATAACTCTTTGTCTTAGTTGATGAACAACTGGCAAATTAAATGCCATTTGAATGCAGAGTACGTTATAAAGAGTTTTTATTTGTTTTGGAAGTTTTTGGTAAAGACTTTGAGAAAAAAAAAACAATAAAACTTGAAATAAAACTCGTCTTTTGGGACACACTTTCTCTCATCAATAGCTATACAATATGTGTGGACTCACTGTATGTGTGAGAAAGTGATTGAATACAGTATACTGTAGTTTGCAATGCATTACACAATACATCAACTTTACAGCAATGATGTGTTGCAATGAAAACAAACTCTATGTGTGTGTATTGCAGGCAAACACACCTTCATATATACATGTAGTTTGTGTTGACAACTATTCATACATTTAATTATAGTTTGCATTTAAATCATTGTTTTTGATTACAATTGACTGCAATTGTGTGCATATATTCAGGTAATTGTTGTTTGAATGATAATCTAGTTGTTAGTGTGAATAGTGAGCTGACCTGATGTTTGTCTCAGCGCTCATCCCATAAACATGTGTCTCGTTTTATAAGACACGTCAGTCTTAAGACATTTACTATTATTATATCATTAAATCATTAAATGATTGATTCATTTGATAAACAAATTATTTGTTTGTCTCATAAAATAGGATATGATTTGCATTTCAATGAAGTGTTGATTTTGTAATCAATATTATGTCAGATATTTAATGAGCGCTCATTTTGTCAATGATTTTGACAATTGTTTACACAAACAGTGATTAAATCAATTGTATTCATATTTGAATCGGTGTTTCAGATCCGGAAGAATATGACAGACAGCAGCGGACACGACAAGGGATGGAATGATCCGCCGCTCTTCTCGTTGGACCAGATGTCACGACCGGCGCATCAAAACGTGGTTCAAAACAGGCGTAACCGTTACCCGCAGATGACTGGGTCGGGAGGGGCGCCGCCATCGATGGCGATGAGCGGTCAGCCTATGTTTGCGGCCAACGATCAGCAAAACCAATACCCGATGAGCGCCGGCGCCCTTAACGCGAACCCGAGCGCCAACTTTGAGCCCTCACTCGATATAAACGGCTTCGTGACGACTGTCCACTCTGTGGTCGCTTCCATACCTACTTTGCCTCAAGAGTTGGTCCACAAATGGCAAAGCATTCAGACCAGTGTTTACAGCATTCAAGCGGACGCCCAAACGAAAGCGGCGTTTCAATCGTTACAGACATCGATTCAAAGGCAGGACCTGAACAGCGCTCGCCTTTACGCCAATCACCTGACAAACAGTGGTAACGAATTGGTCCGCATTGTTGGCCACACCGTCGCAGAGATACTTAGATATGTGCCATAAATTGGTGGCAAATATTTATGTTTGTTATGTTGTTTTTTGATGAAACAAATGATTATATATTTCATGCAAATAGTCTGAAAATATTAAATATTTAACTTATTTTCTTATTATTCACACTATTTTTGATAGTCTTTGGCGTAAATATTTTTCTCAATTTCTTCGCAAACCCTTTGATTAAACCACAACTCATTAGACATATTATACTATAGTTATGAATAAAACTGTTTTTCTCTCTCCAAAGACAACGAAATAAGTTTGTGATTAAAAGTAATTCTCAAAGTTTTATATTTACGGATTGAATGCAATATTAATTATAATAAAGACTGAGTTTTATATAAAATATTATTATTATTATTTCTGAGAATATTTTTATTTTCAATGTAAGAATTGAGTGGAAAACGTGATAAACATAATTGTGAGTACATATGAAAGTGCAACACATTATACGGAACCCGGAATATGTTGAACAAACAAACAGATAGTATAGATATAGTGGATGTATGCGTATAATGTTGACGGCATATATCCAAACATCCAGACATAACATCTAATATATGATAATTTCTCGACGAAAACATATTTTTCTTGTTTTCACAAATGCTTTGAAAATGAGTGGAATATTCTGCACATGAATTGTCGGAATAACTTAATAAACAGCAAAACGATAAACAATTATTCTGTCATTCACTGGAAAGTGAATGAATAATCAAAATAAAATGTCACAAAATAGTATTATATAACAAATTCTCTACTAATCAGTAAATTAATTGATGGGATATTCTGTTTGGAGTTGTTTTGAAATTGAAATAATTTCATAAAAAATAAAATTATTGCGAGACGTGAGAGATTTTTTGTTTATTAAATAATGTTATAGTAAAAAATAATTTGTAACCCTTTTTATACGACAGTTGAATCAAATTCAAGAGTGAATTACACACATAATTAAGCGATAGTTATTTAGAAAAAATTGTTTATAAATAAAATGCATATTATTTTGTAATTTAATATTCTGTTTACAGAATAAAATATGAATAAGTATTCAATTTTAATGAATGCAAAATTAGTCGTTTCCTTCATTCATAAAACATTAGCATAATTTTGTGTTTAGTTTGATGTTTGTCCTCATGTTTACCACTCTTAAAGTCTCTTAATTCTTGCGTCCGACAGTCCTATTCCTACAGCAAATGCCAAACAACCCACTCATTCACTATTGATTGGTATGTTATTTAATCCCTCATACATTATAAGCCCTAATCTACGTTTACACACATATCTTATATCTATTNCGTTAAATGTGGAAACATTTGCAAAAACCTATCAAAACATGCATTAGATTTCATAGATGTTTTGAAATGAAAATTTTTTTCCCTGGCATTCAATTTCAATAACAACTCAATTGAATTGAAACTGAAAATTGTGCGGAAGTCGTGTGCAATTGTTTTTTATATTAAATGTTAGATACATTTTGCAGTATTTGTAGAGAATGTTACAGAATTTGAAAATATTTTATTTAAGACTTACCAATGAATACATCATATGATAATATTGCTCAATAGGAGTCTTCATTAACGGTGAATATTACGTTGAAATTATTATTTTTCACGTAAAATACTGTTAGTGTTTCTAATTTGGTATATTTTAGTAATAATTATATGAAAACACTATAACGTAAACTAAACTAAACATATCAATTACTTCACACCAAAACAATTATCACGACATTTAAACATTGAAAACACGATAAACTAATAACATATTGACTTAAAAACGTCAATAATATCAAAATAAGTGCAAAAAATTTCTAAAAGCAAATTAACGAATTGTGTTTAACAAAAAACCCAAAAAAGGTTATACAAGTACATCAAAATATTTATTGTATAAAATAGTTATCATGTGGTGTTTTAGGCAAAAAAGTTCATGTTGTGTTCAACCAATTCTTACTTCTCCTATAGAAAGCTATAGCTTTTGAAAACAACAATTTTTCCAATTTTGTAATTAAAGTAATTTGAGATTATATTATATAAAAAGCCAAAGACTCTTCTCATTGGCAAACATAACAACCAATTCCGTTGTGTTTTCGCCAAAAACAAGACAACAAGTTGTTGTGAAGTCTCAGTATTCCCATCGAAATCAATTCAATTCATCACTCGTTTTAATAAATATTAATTATTTTTTAGAAAAAAGTTGTTTAGTATTTGTAATTTAATTTTCCATTAGAAATGTAAATAAAGTGCTCAATTGACCATTTTGAATGTATAATTAAAATAAATTAAATATGATTAAAATGCAATAAATACGGTTAAAACTATGTTAAATAAATTTCCTAAACTTATTATCATTTTCCAATTAATAGTATTTAGATATTGTTAATCCATAAACCTGTGGATGTAATCCATAAATAGGTGACAATTCTAGCAAAGTTTGTCCCAAATAATATAGCGAATACAACACTGCATTAAAACCCATTGCCATCTCTACCAGTTCTTATCGAAATAAGTCATTTCAAATGACTGTTATTTATTTGTTACACATATTGTAATACAAGTGTTTTTGTCTTTTAATAGAAACAATTGTCTATTAAATGACAATCCTATCTATCAATGGATCCAATTTCTAAATCAAATTAAATTTATTTGTCTTGTCTTTACGTGACATGTATTCGCTATACACTACTGTTTGCGTTGAATTTAAGATCGCGAGTGTTGTAATAAATGACAATTCAAACGTTTACATGATTTAGAAATTTTAATGTAGGAATTATGGTCTAAACTAGCTTGATGAATAGTTTTATGCAAATGGATATATTGTCCCTATAATAGCTGTACTGTAGTTATTTTAACAAGTATAAATAATAAATTGTTTAGTAATGTGATCTGTGATGACATTTACAGTAGTTTTGACATTCATGTGACATATTTGACAAATGTATAAAATTTAGGAATCTAAGAATTCTGAGCGCTTTTTGTAACATTTTTGTACTCAACTTTTGAGTTAACCTTAAAATATATGATTTATAGTTGTCTTTATTAACATAACTTTTAATAAATGGCAAAACACTCGAGTGGTTGAGATTGATATCCTGTTAGAGATAACAGAATATTCTGATTGAATGATCGCATAATAAAAGTGGAGATAACTGTGTGGACACAACTCTCTTATGTGTTAATTTAATTAAAACGTTTATATTATATATAAAAAGTAAATAAATAAAAATCAGGTTTTAAGAAATGGATTTATTTCAATATACAGTGTTTTTCTCATTGAAAATACGCGTATGTTTTGACACAAATGGAGAATTTCTATTACAAATAAATGTCTATGAATTAAAATTTATAACAATAATTGATTTACTCTTTTAACTTAAATATGCATTTTTACGTAAGAAATGGTAGATATTATGTTATAGAAAGCTATAAAAGTGTTTCTTATTCACAAATTATATATATGTTTATTATTATCGTTTACATATTAGCCCAAAAGGTTTTTCTCCAACAGTATTGTACTGTATATGAAAAGGGAAGCCACAAATCGGATCCTAACTATATTTAATTAGATTTTACATACGTTTGTGTAATATTGTAATAATACTGTAATCCTAAACTGAGACTATGTTTTACGGACAGATATACTTATGTTGTGTCTGTGTTGAGTGTATCGGTCAGTTTGGATAGTAATTTGTAATACTGTATGTCATTTAACAAAACACCAATTCATTTGGCAGTTTATCATACATTTTTGGTTTTTAATAGTCTCTCGTTTAAAATACATACATATATATAATATGTATATTCTGTATATCTATAAAATTGTCGCTGTTTTTAATGGTAATAAATAATTTACTGATTGTTGGCATTTGAATGTCTGGGCAGTCTTTAGCGGATTTAGAAATAGAGAGATAGATAGAGAGACGGCTCGACCAACTCATCTGAAAATGGTTTTAACGATATCGATGTACGTCTGTCCGGGTTTTACTTTGCATTCAAAGTCGATGTGATGCAATGGTGTGCCCCAAGTCAGGTGCTGTGTGTCCTCCCGGTTGTAAAATTTCACCTGAAGTGGTATTATACACGTGAGTCCGCCCTGAAATTGTAGCATCAGTTGTACCTATGGTTTGGGTGTCATATGAATTTTGTATGAAAGTACCGAACAAGTGATTAGCACATGATTTTATAGGTAAAAACATATTCATTCATTAAAAATAATAGTAATAATTGTGAGAATATAAAACACATATGTGGTGTAAAGTGAGCGCATACTTTAGTCCTATCCTTTTTCTTGTTGGCATCGATTTTGGTTGAGTCCCAACTGAAGGAATAGGTTGAGCCGCCGTTCTCCTGTGACTGGTCGGTCACCGACACACCCGTCCCCTGCACTGACACACTTCTGCACATATAATCAATAGTCCATGTTTTGTGTAATTTTATTGACGATCATTATAGTCGAGTGCATTGAGTGCGGCAGAAGAGAAATAGATCCGTTTGGAAGAGATATACAGTATATGTGTAGTGAAGTACAGGTGAGAGGAAAATGAATAAAAAAAATACAAGAGTTAAGAAAAGCAATAACTGGTTAGCGATAAAAAATAATGTTTTCCTCTAAAGGACTATAATTATAGTGATGTGAAAAGGGAGTGAAAGGGCAGACATAAAGAATGGGATACTTTATGGCATAACTTACTGTAATGGCAGAGAAGGCCTCACATTAACCGTATATTCATAATTCGTTTCGACCATAAATTTTAGCGTATATTCGCTGTTAAAACGTTGGCCATCGCGCTGTCGGCCCCACACAGACACACATTACATATTTTGAGAGAGAGAGAGAGAGAGAGGAGAGGGAGAATGAATGGCACAAATATACACATTATTTCCACAGCATTTGGAGCACTACTAGAGAGCATCCAAACCCAATGTATAGATATATAGAGTATATATACGGCTCACACACCATATATACCAAACCAGAACCGATATATATAGCCGTTAGACTGTGTGGCACTGGTATGTAGTGAATGGATGGCATAGTGAGGGCAATACTACTGTATATATGGTATAATAGTATCGCATAGTATGTATAGAGTATTTGTTACATGATAAAAATGGTGGATTATGACCGAAACTCATATAAGATTGACTTACAAATTAGAAATAAAGACGACAATGATATCTACTATAAGGTATTGTTTGGATTCTCATTCAACCACAAGATATGCCAAATACCATAAGCGCATGAATTTGTATTATTTTTTTATTCCCTCATATATTATAACGTGTGTTATTAATATAACCTACTTGTTATTCCTATTAAATATATTCCCATTATATTATTAAATTATAATTTTATTATTATTATATTCCGTAAGTGTGTTGTGTGTTGTGTCCCATAGAATTGCATGCGTTTTCTTCCCAAATGACTGTCGAAACCGCTATTTATATAAACATTAAACTATTTTTCGTTTTATCTCTAAATTCTATATAATTTTTGTTTATTTTTGTCTGTTTTGTAAAATACCAATCGATTCCGTATTCACTATTATAGCAACAATTCTGTTCAGTTGTTTCCTTTCAGTTCAGTTTATTTGCTCTTGTCTTTCGTCTGTAAAGCACTTCTTGCATTCATTTCCCACAATCTTTTTATCCGTTTATATTATTATTATTTTTTATTTTGCTTTAAACAGTTTCACATTTTTAAATATTAGTGAAATAACTCTCTCTCTCTCTCTCTCTTCTGCCGCACTCAATGCACTCGACTATAATGATCGTCAATAAAATTACACAAAA